GGGGGGGGGGGGGGATTGAGAGACCATCTCCTTTTGATGACACCACGGCTGTACGGGTGGGGGTGGGGGTACAAGCGTATACAACAAAGTTGACCGTCGTTCTAATGTACTATAAACAACGTCACTTTTAAAGTTATGTAGATCGACTTTCTATAACTATCGTAATGTATTACAATGTTCCCAAACTTTTGAAAATTTTATTTCTTTTTCTTTTTTTTTTTCTCGTATCTCCAAATTGAGAACCTAAATAAACTCGGTGTATTCTCTTCTCATAGTGGGAGAACTAAAAATAGAGACACCCCCCCCCCCCCATGTTATAATTTTTATCATAGCCTACATATGAACTTGAAGTTGACAGTTGTGTTCAGCTTTCTTTTGTGATGAACTTATTCTGAAAGAAGATGTCCCTTTAATAAATGTAATAGTTTAATAACAAATGAAACAGTAGAACCAGGTATGCCGAAGCTTGAATCAAACGACAAGGCAATGATGTGATCGTTTCGGCTTAGAGTTTAGATTAGGGTTTAGTGCCTTCTCCAGCGAACAGCTCAAATACAAATACATGACACAGAGCACAGTAACAAAAACTTTAGAGATCTCCTTTATTGATTCAAGCTTCAACATACCTTGTTCTACTATTTCATTCACACGGCTTGAATGCAGTTCTTCAATTGTTAGCTTTTATAGCGACAGGTGTTTTACATTAAATTTTTTTTGACATACTTTGGGGGTGGGGGGGTGTTCGGTTCCCACGGTTGTCAGATTTGTGACTGACTGGATTGGTGGATGTAAACATTGTCCAAAATAGCGTGATCTACTTTATGGACTTGCCCTAATACAAGCACGTGCTTAGGGCATCAGGAGAAAGGGGGCATGACGTACTTTATGGACTTGCCCTAATACAAGCACGTGCTTAGGGCATCAGGAGAAAGGGGGCATGACGTACTTTATGGACTTGCCCTAATACAAGCACGTGCTTAGGGCATCAGGAGAAAGGGGGCATGACGTACTTTATGGACTTGCCCTAATACAAGCACGTGCTTAGGGCATCAGGAGAAAGGGGGCGTGACGTACTTTATGGACTTGCCCTAATACAAGCACGTGCTTAGGGCATCAGGAGAAAGGGGGCGCCTCAAACATATCTGCATCTTGTCATCACCTGAAAGTTGAATATATTATCAGGCAAATGAAAAGCGAATTAATTCTTTACCCAGAGGACACAACTTCCCAATCTCATTTCTTCTCTTGCTCTCCAGGCGTAGTGTAGAATGGTGTGAACTAACTTTGTGGTGTGCTCTAACGGCATTCTTGCATTTTGAATTTAGCAAAACTTTTACAGAAAAAAAGGGGGTGGGGGTTCACTAGAGTATCCACAAGCTTTACTCATAGGACCTGATAAATAAAAAGGGGCTGATTATTATTCATTATTTCTTGTGTGTATGTGTGTGTGTAGGTCTTCTACTGTGTACCACCCCCACCCCCCTAGGACAATCTGGATCCTTAATGACTAAAAGACTGCAAAATTAAAATAACAGTAAGTAGCCGTAGTTGACTCAGTAAGTAGCCGTAGTTGACTCAGTAAGTAGCCGTAGTTGACTCAGTAAGTAGCGTAGTTGACTCAGTAAGTAGCCGTAGTTGACTCAGTAAGTAGCCGTAGTTGACTCAGTAAGTAGCCGTAGTTGACTCAGTGAGTAGCCGTAGTTGACTCATTTATAAGCAGTGCCGGGGCCGAACACTCCAACTGTAGGCAAGAGCAAACACTGCCTCCCTTTCATATTAAACGTTGATGGCTCATCTAGTTGGCCCCTTTGTAGTTAAGAAGCTTTCAATGCTCTGTTAATTTGTATTCATAAATCTATAGGATAAAAATGTGTAATATATTTCATTAAAATAAAACTATTAAGTAGCCTTAATTTACATAATCTCAAATGCTTAAATTGGCTGCTTTGTAATGTTGTTGTTGTTGTTGTTGTTGTTGTTGTTTTGTGGTTTTTTGGTTTTTTTTTTCTCACTTAACTGTTGATTTCGAGATAAAAATAGCTTCAGCCGAGAATGATTCTTAAGTTAACTTGGCTACCAAAGCAAAAAAAGTCATGTAATGGCAAAATTATACAAGTACAAGTGTTAAGAGTGTAGACTAATTTACATTTCTTTTTTTCAAGAAGAATATGATTATCTTTTTTTAACAGAGGCACAAATCATGAATAGTTTCGGTAATAGCTATGGCAACGCAATCACATTGTGTGAGTATGTGTGTAAAATTCGGAAGAGGTGTATAATGTATCATAATATTTCCAGACAGCACTCAACTTTATCCATCACTGCTAAGGATTTGCTGAATATCATATAGAAACACGGTAAGGGGTTGCTGAATGTCATATAGAAATCTAGAAAATGTCAAAAGTTGCAGTTATTGGAAACCTGTCTTCAAGGATCCAAAATTACTACTAACATGGGCGCCCGCAGGTAGGGGCAGGGGGGGGGCACTTGCTCCCCCCCCCCCTGGATTGATTGGATAAAATTTTTTTAGAAAAAAATGTACAAAAAATTTATTAAAGTAAAGAGAAAATAAAGAGAAAATAACTAA